TGAAATGAATTCAATATCATGCGTAAAAAAAGTCCATCTACCCGATAACGTCGCAATTTGTTTGAACTGCTCGTCTTCAATCGTTACTATTATACGGAATTATAGTACTATCTCGATTAGTAATCAATATTCATCATTTGACTTCGTGTAAATATGCCTGTTAATACAAGTTAGTTGATATTTTTCCTTTGAACGGATCAAAAAAGACAAATATCAGTGAAATTCTAAAAATTTCATTTTTATACTGTAGAGAATGTAAGAAAAAACACACCGTTCTATTTTGTTTTCTTGTTAGATAAATTTGTTATAATTTTTCTTGACAAGAATATTTCTTATATGATCTTATTGAAAAAGAAAATTGATTGAACGAAAACAAAGATTCTTCATAGATGTACTCTCAAATTATCTATTTCTCAAAAACAGTTACTATATAATATCTCGAAAATGAAATTCATCCTACGAGAGAAATAAGTCATATTCAAAAACTTTGAAAGAATAAATTTTTTTATAAGATTACAAATAATTTTTTAAATATTTTATACTAATCTTCAAATTTTTAAAGTAATTAATATTCTGTAATGAATAAGTTTTAGTACATAGTTGTGTACGAAGTGAAAAAAGCAGAAGAAATAATATTGTGCTTATTTCTTAATGAGAGATCTTCAAATGTAACTTTTCGAATAATTGACAGATATTAATTGATAAGTTCTTGTTGATCTACAATATCAAATAATCTTAATGAAAGAATAATATTCAAATGCGCAATAAATAGTGATAACCTTTACCTAAGACATTAAGTGTAATGGTAAGGCGTCGGTGTGGATGCTGTTGAAAAGAAGATCTACACCTACAACTACCCTTAAGAGCGTGTGTGGGTGAAAAGAAAGAAGATATTTCCACCCACACCCTCATCCTGATCATGTTTATATGAGTAGCTTACATCGTACTTAAAGACCATCAATCGAATATACGTCTTCTAAAATTAAGATTTTCTTATGCAACCAAGTTAACTCATTCATTGCTGTTTGTTTCCTAAATTAGCCTTCGAAAATTGTGTGCTTATCTTCTTCTCTTTCATTTTATTCAGCAAGACTACAAGATTCGAAAATGATCGAGTATTTCATTAATATTGGAAACATTTTACGTGATAGCAAGTATGAAAATGAACAGGATGATGTTAGAAAAATTGTAGTCAATATGATGAAAAAAAAACAATGCGCTGACAAGGAGGAATACTATTAATAATTTAATAATTTGTTTCGACTGTTTTGTATGAAGTCTGTCAAAATATACTTTTTATGCTTTACTTGGTCTTGTGAAGGTTAGAAACCATATAAAGATAAGGAATTATCGTATCTTTAAGTATGAAATCGATGATATAGACTATTAAAAGAAGCACCAGATTGAATCGAGCTTAAGGTCAACTGTGTCGATGAAGGCCACATTCGCGCTTTAGACCAAAGAAACGAGTATCTTCTTGGCGTAGACCAGGTTCCCAAGATCGGGTAGTGTGAACATCGCCGATCGAAACATAGCCTTTTTCCCAAAGTGGATGATATGGCAAATTGTGTCGTCTCAAATACATGCCAACATCGCGATCGGTCCAATCAGCTATCGGATGCACTTTCCATCGGCCATTGTGACGTTCAACAATGCGAATTTGTTGGCGACTTTCAGATTGATTGCGGCGCAAGCCGGCGAACCAAGTTTCGACACCAAGATTTTTGAGAGCAAGTTGCATCGGCTTGATTTTTACTAGATGATTGTAAAGATCAATTCCATCTAAACCTTGTTCCCATAAACGACCATGGCGTGCTTCAAACCAAGCAGCCGAAATCTCCGGACGCAATACATTAAGATTGAGTTGTAAACGTTCACGTAATTGATCAATGAAACTATAGGTTTCAGGAAAAAGATAACCTGTATCCACGAGTAGTACTGGAATATCAGGTTTTTGCGCCGTCAATAAGTGTAGCGAAGCTGCAGCTTGTGCGCCAAAACTCGATGACAGGGCATAGACACCCGGTAATTCACATAATGCCCAAGCCACACGTCTCTCAGCAGTTTGAGTCTCCAACCATTGGTTCAGTGCGTCGAGAGCACTCTCACTCATTAGTGCCTCGGCTGCAGTGCACGGTATGTCGATCGAATCAGTTCGAAGTGAATATGTTAATTTTAATTGAACTTTTTCGTTCGATTGATTGATTCCACCATTTGTGTGCTTCTTTTTTCCACTAATATGAATATCATCTTCATATTTATGATCATTTATGTCGACTTCTGATTTGATTTCAAAAGTGTCTCCTGTTTTTTGTTCGGTTGCATTCAGATAATTTGTCATTTTATGTTCCTCTTCTATTTTGAACTGATGAATGTATTGTTGCAATTGATTTTCTAATATTTGATTTTTATTTTCTACTGTTTTATCGGCAATATCGTATTCAATTGAGCTACTTTTCATTTGCATGAAAGTGTCCATATTTTCCGAACTTGAACGATAATATGAATTGCCATTCGAAGATATGACTGGTTTGGTTATTTGTACGTCTAATTTAGCATTGTTAAGATGTTCTAGAATGAAGTCAAATTCTTTTTTAATTTGTTCGATTTCATCTTGCTTTATAGCATATTGTTGGTTAATGTTGCTTATACGATTTACGATTTTGTCAACTTGTTGTAAAACATCCCATTGTGCGATACGAATTTGGTCGCATTGTTGATTTAGATGTGCAATTTGTGTATCTTTTTCTTTGATTGTGTCCATCAGTTTTTGAATTTGGATATGTGGCGATTCCGCACTAGAATTATCTTGAGTCAACAAATCTGATTTCGCCTTTAAATCGTCTTCATTCTTGAGTAACAGTTGTCTTATCATGCGACTATTTCGATTTGACTTAAGCAAACAGTCGTAAAATTTTGAGTGAAGCGATTCTTCACTAGTACTACGATAGAGTTGACGTTTGTTTGAAGTTGTTGATCCTAATAGATCTTTTTCAATCACGTTTTCGATACGAGCCACAGAGAATAGGAAACCATGATGTTGTTGACAAACCAAATGTTGTCCTTCAATAACATTTTCATTTTTTTTATTCCATATATCATCGATCAGATGCATTTTACCGATATATTTGAGTACAATACGTTTCTTCTGACTATTTACTAATCGGCTTTGTTCATTTTGGCTTGTCAGATTGTCTATTGTGGTATGGATACAGGTACCATCGCTTGTATCTGATATTGAAAAAAAGTAAATCAAAATTTAAACAGGGAAATGCATCGATGTAAGATAGAGATTACTGGGCTCAGCTCTGAAAAAGGTTGATCCCGAGAAGTCACGAATTTTCGTCTTCATATCTATGAGCGAGAACTCAGTCAGTAAATTCGCTCATGTAGGTACGGACTGGCTTGCTGCAACGTAAGCGAAATCTTCACCGTTCAAAGCAGGATACATACCCATACTCGTCAAAACGTGCTTTTTGTTTCGGAACCAGGACCAAGAAAAGGTAACTTTGTAGTTCTCTAATGTAAGACTCTTCTGGCTATCACATCTTCACTTCTGATTGAACTCATTGATTACAATAATACACCTCTTATAGATCTATAGACAAGCGATAATTTCTATTTGTGGACGATAGTGGCGGTGTTAGCACCATTGAAGCGACTGGGGCTAAGCGTCAGGAGTAAACGATTGTTCCTCAGTAGCGATCGATATCACACTAATGAACGTCTCAGGAGTGACGAAATTCTGGTTACATCGTTAGACGATAGTCCATATATATCGAGCGAAGATGCTGGTTTTCCAAAGATTATTACAATCTTTTCCAAAACTTGAGGAAAAATCTCAAATATTCCTGGCTTTACTATAACTAATATTGATTTAACAATGACTTTCTAGTAGTGGCATAGTCAAGAGCCTTTTCAAAAATTAAAAGAAGGTATTGTAAACTACTTTTATAAACTAGGGGTGAGAAGTTATTGTTACTACAGTAATTGTTATTAATAACAATGTATTCTCACCCTGTCCAAGAATAAGTAGGAACAGCAGTGGCGCAGTCAGTAGGAGAAAATGGACCTCGATCTCCTTCGAGAAAATTTTTCGGAGAAGGGTACAGAGAATTCAATTTCCGCGAAGCAAAAGGTTTTTCCCACCATGATGACCTTCCCAACCCCCCTTAAAAAAATGCTTGGCTACGTGCCTGAGAAACAGGTTTGTCCATCCATAGTTAAATATACCATCACATTCGGATTTCTTGGCTCTGAGAAATCCGAATGTGATGGCACATTTAACTATGAATCAGCAAACCTGTTCCTACTTACTGCAAGGCAGAGTGAGAATACATTGTTATTATAATAACAATAACTTCTCACTCCTACTATAAACTATTAGAGAAGGGACTGGATCCCCTCATATGCAAAATCTTCAATCCATTGACTGATCTATTGCTTGAGCGATCAAAGGATCGAATGATTTGTCGACTATTTTTTATCTCAAATATCAAATTAAGATACAAGATTATATTGGGAAAAAAACCGAGGGGTGTTTTATTTGATTAGGGAATCTCTAAAATGTCAATAACCACTGTTTAAAATCGTCTCCAAGCTTTAATCTCGCAGTATAAACAACTACTATGAATATTAAAATGCAATTAAAATCCGGAATACTATCATGCCTGTCATGATCAAAGAGCCAGACTGGAGGGAGGATGGTTCATTTTTTCTCGCCATATATCTCAACACTCATTGACGATCGTATTAAACAAAAAACAATATGAACTACTCATGTCTTTGATAAAATACGATTCTTAATGAATGTTGAAGTAAAAAGGACACGAAAATTAAACTTTTGCCTAATCAATCACAACAAACAGGTCGACACGTTTCTTCGAATCTTTGGATTCTAAATTATTTTTTTTTAATTTATATTTGAAGTCCTCAAGTGTACTAAGATTCAGTTTTAAAATGAATATGAAATTCTGAACTCTAAGTCTTGTTTGACCCATTATACGACGTGATAAGTGTAGCGACGATCGTCGTTTAAGATCAAAGCCAGTGCAATAAATCATTCTTTAGTTTAGTCAAAAAATACCAGGGAGAAAAGCTGACTTCTAGTGATTTCAAGTGACTTCGGTGACTGCAATCTAACGTAAAAACAGCTGACTCTGTAGCATGTGTGTCAGTAGGAATCAGCTGAATTCAGTTGGAATCACTCGGAGTCAGTGGGAGTCAATTGATTTCAGTAACTCGGATTCACAGTGGCTGTGATTGACTCTGATGCTCCAGAGTCAGCTGTTTTCCTCTTGGAAAAATAGCATCTGGTATAAACGAGATGAATGAAGTTAGGAAGTCATATCATCCGATGAATATCGTTGAACAGTACTTTCAAGAGATCGATTTCGATGAATACCAATGCTATTCTCTGGAAAATGTTCCGATTGAATAAGATGATCGAAAAACAAACGGTTGGACTCGCTTTCAAAATCGAGAACATCATAATTTAATTGATCTAAAGAGAAAATTCAATGAAAATCTCTAACGTTCGTAACATCGTATTCGTCTACCATTTATCCTTTGTGATTGATCGAGCAAAAATGTAATCAATTGACCTAGAATCTTTGAAATGAATGCGAAAAAAATTCATTCGAATAATTCGATATACCTTCTTTAAATGTAGTCCAGCTCACACATGCCATTGCATCGGATTTGTATCCATTGGCTATGACTTGATCATCGTTTTTCAATAGAGCAGCAGGTGAATCTTCGTTCTTGAGAACATTTACCATCATTGCTTTTTGTCGAAAATGTAAGGCCGATTCAGAATTATTTGTGACTGATGTCAGTACACTTTGAAATAATTTGATTGAAAGAGAATGCGTCGATACTTAGCTCATATATTAATACTACTTAGCAACGATAAAATCTAGAAAAACAATCGATCATTTCAAGAGTGAATTGTCAACTATGACCGAAGAGCTAATAGCAGTAAAATCAGTGAAAAAACGAGACTATTAAATTTTATCGTCTGAAGAAGACTGCGAGATTTCGAAAATAAAAGATAAACTAGCGAAAGATCAGACATTGCAAATAATATCCATTACCAGAATAATGGAGAAAATTTAACAATATCTCGAATTTGAGTTGGATTACAAAAAACAACGA